CCCTGAGCAGGCAGATAAACAATTACCTGTTGTTGCTGCTGCTGAGTCGCTGAGTTGTGTCCGACTCTTTGTGACCCCATGGCTTGTAGCCCGCCAGGTTCCTCTGTCCATGGGATTTCCCAGGCAGGAATACTAGAGTGGGTTGCCGTTCCCTTCTTCACGGGATCTTCCCAACCCAGGAATTGAACCTGAGTGCCCTGCATTGGCAGGTGGATTCTTTACCACTAAGCCCAAAGGATTTCCTGTCTATGAAACACTGAAACACTCTTCTCCCATCTCGCCCTCAAGTATCTCCCTGACCTCAGCCTGAGCTTTTGGATTCAGACTGCAGGGGGTTCAGCTCTAAGGGCTATCTCCCACAGGGACGGTTTGCCATCAGTAGCTTTAAATCTTCTCGGGTGGGCTTCCTGGTGGCTCAGATGCTAAAGAATCCACCCGCAATGCAGGAAACTTGGGTTCAATTCCTGGGTTGGGAAGATCCCCTGGAGAAGAGAAGAGCTACCCACTCCAGTATTCGGGTCTGGAGAATTCCATGGACAGAGAAACTTGGCAAGCTACAGCCCATGGGGTCAAAAAGAGTTGGACACGGCTGAGTCACTTCACGTCCATCACTTGAAGATCCTTCTTATCTCGAAAATCGGGTAACATTTGCAAAGTATTTGGCATCCGTATCTGTTCAAATAACGTTAGTTTTGTTTTATTCAAAATCTCACTTGCTTGTCATTTGATCTTTACAGCACAAATGGTGTAACCCTCATTTACAGATGATTATCCGAGTGTTCTTGAACTTACTTTACAAATAGTAACTCATATCCACCCTATTTATCAAGACATTGTTCTAACCACTTCTTCAGATCAAATCTCTGAAGTGGGTGCTAAAAGTCCCATTTTACAGATGAGGAAAATCACAGATGAAAAGCATTGTTCTTCACTTAAGTGCCTCCATTCTCCACAACTTTTAAGCAGTGAATTTGACTCACATCCATGAGTTCAAGTCCAGGGCACTTCACACTCAGAGAAGGAATGTATTGGGCCATGTAAACACAGTACTGCTAAAGGAGACAGCACTCGGTTGTCACATCTGCCACCCTAGGGGAGGGAATTCTAATGGAAAGGAATGGTGTCCTCTACCCTAGGGGACTAGGACAGAGTATGACCAGAGTCCAACCCAGAGAGGGCACATAGAACTGGGGTAGCTTTTGTTGATGTCACTCAGTCATGTCTAGCTCTTTGCAACCCTATGGACTATAGCATGCCAGGCTTCCCTGTCCTTCACCATCTCCCAGAGTTTGTTCAAACTCATGTTCATTGAGTCAGTGATGCCATCCAGCCATCTCATCCTCTGTCACCCCCTTCTCTTCCTGCCCTCAATCTTTGCCAGCATCAGCATCCTTTCCAATGAGTTGGCTCTTCACATCAGGTGGCCAAAGTATTGGAGCTTCAGTTTCAGCATCAGTCGTTCCAATGAATATTCAGGGTTGATTTCCTTTAGGATTGACTGATTTGATCTTGCTGTCCAGGGGACTCTCAAGAGCCTCCTCCAACATCACAATTCAAAAACGTCAATTCTTAAGTGCTCCGCCTTCTTTATGGTCCAACTCTCACATGTGTACACAACTACTGGAAAAACTATAGCTTTGACTATATGGACCTTTGTTGGCAAAGTGATGTCTCTGATTTTTAATACGCTGTCTAGGTTTGTCATAGCTTTTCTTGCAGGGAGCAAGCACGGGAACCCTGAAAATACTGGGAAAAGATTTCACTTTACACTTTGGAGACTTGGGTCTGGGGTAGAGGAGTCCTGTTTGCAAAGATCCCTAAAAGTCCACTGCACCTGCTCATTCTGTTTTCATGGCACTTGAAGGTAGCCGACCTAGAGCCTCTGGCCGCCTCCTGTCCTGGCTCAGGGGGCCTTGGGTCTGCTCCTCCAGATGCTCTGTCACACCCCCTCTTGCACATTTCCTTTGTACTCCAACCCTTCTCTGATGATTTCTTCTCTCTCAACTCTCTTCCTCACTGCATACTTGAATCCCAGGGAGCACAAAGGACCAGCCCTGCCTGGCCTAGAAGGTGAAACGGGGTGTCTGCTACACGAAATCCAGGACTGTCATTGTACAGGAGAGGACCCTGGCACCAGAGAGGGCAGGGACTAGCCCAGGATCACACAGCCAGTCAAAGACAGATATAAAGGTTCCTCCTGACTGCCCGCCTTCAGTGCCCCGTTCTGCCTGCATCTCAGTCTGCCTTGGCAGACCTCCGGACCCACGTCCTGACTGGACATGAACAGGCACCCTGGCACACTTGTGCACAGACATGATTCCTTATCGCCCCAGCAGCCCAGCTCTGTTTACAAACCAGTTTCACATCCTTTGTTTATTTGTCTATGGGCTTCCCTGGTGGCTCAGATGGTAGAGAATCTGCCTGCTAATGCAGGAGACCTGCGTTTGACCCCTGGGGCAGGAAGTTCCCCGGGAGAAGGAAATGGCAACCAACTCCAGTATTCTTGCCTGGAGAGGAGCCTGGCAGGCTACAGTCCATGGGGTTGCAAGAGTCAGACATGACTGAGCGACTAACACTGTAGCATTCTCAACTTTGTATTACAGTTGTCAATGAATATATCTGATCTGCTCCTGAAAGGCAAGACCGGGTTTTACACATCTTTATATCCCCCATGTGGAGCATTTGTTATTCTTGTGTCCTGTGTCCGGTTGTTTGCGACTCTGGACTGGAGCCAGAGAAGGCAGTGGCAACCCACTCCAGTACTCTTGCCTGGAAAATCCCATGGACAGAGGAGCCTGGTAGGCTAGTCCATGGGGTCGCAAAGAGTTGGACACAACTGAGTGACTTCACTTTCACTTTTCACTTTCATGCATTGGAGAAGGAAATGGCAGCCCACTCCAGTGTTCTTACCTGGAGAATCCCAGGGACGGTGGAGCCTGGTGGGCTGCCGTCTGTGGGGTCACACAGAGTCCGACACGACTGAAGCGACTTAGCAGCAGCAGCAGGACCGGAGCCTGCCAGGTTCCTCTGTCCAAGGGATTTCTCAGGCAAGAATACTAGAGTGGGTTGCCATTTCCTTCTCTGGGGGATCTTCCCAACCCAGGGATGGAACCCAGGTCTCCTGCTTGGTGGGCGGATTCTTTACCTCTGAGCCACCAGGAAAGCCCCATGTGAAGCATTTAGTGAGTGCTTAGTAAGTGTGAGTTGGATGAATAAGTGAATATAAACTAGAGAATATGCCTGAGCCCCAGTGGGATTTGGAGTTTAATTATGTTTAATTTTGTTGTGCCACAATGAGCAAAATCCTGGTTTTAAGCTTTTTATTTGATAGCAAATGTTTTTGAATGAAGATTCAAATAAGGCAATATTTGTAACTGTTCTTAGGGGAATACTTCTGTATTCTACCCATCTTCATGTTTTTATTTCTGAGCTCGTACTCATTTAAAACCATGAGTATAGCTTTTAAAAACCAAATGTGTAATTTATTAACACCTATCCACCACACCTATTAAAATTTTTTCTAATGCATGATAGCCTACATCTATCAAGCCACAGCAGATTTTAACAGCTTCTTTGTAAGTGTGTGAAGGGCGTGCCATGTTCCTCCCCATGTGACACTTAGTATTTCAGTGTGTTTCCATCTTTTATTCTTAGTGGATATGGCTGTAAATGGCAGCTTGAAATAAACTCAATCTGAAGTTCTGAAGACAAGTTTCACAACTTTTAACAGCTTATTCAGTGTTCTGGGGAAGAAAACTTTTTCTCTATATTCTTAGGGTTAGTATCTGAGGCCCTGTGAATAAAATTACCGTAGATTAACAGAAAAGGCATACAGTTTTTTAATTAATATCTATGTGCACAACAGTTCACAGAAAAGGAATGGAACTCAAAGTTTTAACTAGTTAGACTTGGGCTTATATTACCATTTTAACAGAGAACAAAGGGACTTGTGTTTCAAGGGATAATAAGTGTGGAGAAGGGGATATATGGGGTTATTAAAGGAAAATAAGGGCTATTTTATTTTAGTAAGGTTTGTTTATGCAGACTCATCTTTGTATTGACAATTCCTTGTCTTCTTTCTTGACTCTTCTCTCCTTGGTGGGGGAAGGGTCACCTTCCTCAGAAAATTTATATCTTGCGTTTAGGTACATGAGGGAAGGACAGAGAACTCTTCTATTGAGTCTCACTGGCCTTTAGCTCAATATATTTCTTACGCCAAAGCCAATTTCCTTCAAATGAAAAACAAAGAATATTGCAGCTGAAGCACTTGTGAATTATTTCCAATTTTATTTTTTACAAGTCCCATTGATAAGAAACATTAAGTTATTATTAAAATTGATTTTAAGACTATGTAAAATATATTTACAAAAAACAGGAGGGGGGAAGCAAGTCACCCATGATCCTACTATCCTATTTAAAGCTGGTTTTGTGTATTTTCTTTCAATGTTATCTATGCATATCTATTGGAGAAGGACATGGCAACCTACTCCAGTATTCTTGCCTAGGGAATTCCCTAGGAGCCTGGTGGGAAGCAGCTTAGCTTACATATCTATTTTACACCATTTCAGGGATATGGCCACATATATGGTATGTAACTTTCTCAGCTAACAGTATATCACGCTCTGTGGTCTTGCTTGATCATAATCCTCATTATTTAACCTCTGCAAAGTTTTCCTAACCATTCCCCACTTGTCAGGCATCCGAGATGTCTCCAGGCGGGTGATGGGGTGTCTTTGGCAGTGGCACCTCCAGCCGGGGAGGGCGGGGCCCTTCCTGGCCATGGGACCTGGGTTTTCTGGGTATTCAAAGTCAAGTCTCAAGCAGAAACTTCCTCTGGGCCAACCAGGGATTCTGGCTCCGGGCTCCCCTTCTCTCTGGGCGGAGGGTAGTGGAGCCCCGCCCTTCAGACGTCCCAGGCCAGAGTTCCAGCCCACGCCGGGGGCGGGCCCACGTCCTGCGCGATGTGGGTCCCTCCCATGCGCTCTCTCCTTCTGTCCTAGCCTTCCGCAGACCCGCTGAGAGAAAGGAAGGAGCTAGGCGGTACGGGCGTCATGGTCCACCTACTGGCCTCCGAAGTGCGGCAGCTGCTCCACAACAAGTTCGTGGTGGTCCTGGGGGACTCGGTCCAGAGGGCTGTGTACAAGGATCTGGTGCTCCTGCTGCAGAAAGACTGCCTGCTCACACCCAGCCAGCTCAAGGCCAAGGGGGAGCACACTTTCGAGCAGGATAAGCTGGTGCGTGGGGGCCAGCTGGGCCGCATGCACAACGGCACCCACTACCGCGAGGTGCGCCAGTTCTGCTCCGGCCAGCACCTGGTGCGCTTCTATTTCCTGACGCGCGTGTACAACGACTACCTGGAGGACGTCCTGGAGGAGCTGCAGGCCGGCGAGCATCACCCGGACCTGGTCATCATGAACTCGTGCCTCTGGGACATCACCAGGTACGAGAAGGACTTCTGGCCTAGTTACCGGCGGAACCTGGAGAGACTGTTTGGGCACCTCCGCCAGGTGCTGTCCGAGTCGTGCCTCCTGGTGTGGAACACGGCCATGCCCGTGGGCGACAGAATCACCAACCGCTTCGTCCCGCCCGAGATCCGGTTAGCATCCGCCTCCGTGAAAAGCCGGGTGATCGAAGCCAACTTCTACAGCTCTGCCGAGGCCCAAAAGCACGGCTTCGATGTGCTGGACTTGCACTTCCACTTCCGCCGCCACACAGGGAAGTTCCTGCAGACGGACGGAGTGCACTGGAACGAGCGCGCACACCGCCACCTCTCCCAGCTCCTGCTGGCCCACGTGGCCGACGCCTGGGGGGTAGAGCTGCCCCAGCGAGACCCAGTGGGCAAGTGGATCACGGATGGCCCTGAGAGAGGAAGACCTGGCCGGAGGCTTGAGAGGCAGCCCCTGGTCTACGGAGATCAGCCGGCCTGCCCTCCGCCCAGACCTTTGCCTCTCCCGGGGCGCCAACCCCTGCTCCCCACACCGTCTCCCCGCCCACCCCTGTTTCCACTCCTGTCCCTACAACCTCATCCCATCCCCTTTCACCCGGTGATGCCCCCATTCCCATTCTGCCCCCAGGATACCGGTTTTTCTTCAGACCATACTTTCCAATCGGATCAATTGGCCTTTAACTGTTTATATTCAGATGTCCCCCCATCTAGCCAAACAGAATTTGCTGCCCAAGGTGACTTTCGGTATGGTCCCCAGCCGCCTATGCCCCGCTTCCTTCCACCCTGTTATGAGCAACGGGTCCCTGCGGTCCATAGGGGTTTTCCCAGGTATCATCCCCCTGACCCCTACATGCCCTGGAGAAAGCGGCCTAAAACTTCCAAGAGAAGGGCCTCGGCCTATAAAGAGCCAAGACCTCAATAGACTGACTTGGGCCTTCTTCCTCTCGCACTTGGACTGAACGTGGTCTGCCTCGTCCCAAATAGGCTGACCTCCTTCACTGAAACCTTTTGTCCACTGCTGTTACCAGTGATGGCAGGGAAGATCAGTCTGACACATATATGTTGTCCATGGCCTCTTTCTGCACTCCCAGATGCCTGGGAGGTGGCCAGGCATCATTCCTGCCTTCCTGCTCCTTATTCTCTGTCTTTTTGTAAATATACAGTTGAAATTAAAAAGTTGTTTCATAAAAGTCATTGTGGATTTCCTGAGTTTGTATTTAATGATGCCTCTCCCTTCTATTGAACATCTCATAGCAGCAGGGACAATATCTACTGTATGGTTATGGCCTCAAAACTACTCAAAATGGAATTTCACCAAAGGGTTTCCATAAAATAGATCTGATTCCTTATAAATAAACGAAATAACTTTTAACTTTTTGTGGTGCTATTTACCAGAGAGTCTCAAAAAATCGTGGAATCTTAGAACTGAGGAAACGAAAGACATAAAATTTAACACTTACAGACAAGAAAACTGAGGCCAGGAGATGAGTGACTCCTTGTAGGTCACCCAGAAAAATCACTTCTCCACTACTCCTTTGTAGTTTATACTAGTTTCAAGTTTATATAAACTTTCAAGCTTGATTTATACCACAACAAACCAAGAAGGGAAGTTTACCAAACATGGTCTTCCTATGGAAGAGATGATGAAAAACCCCTCCAGTTCCATAACCAGAGGTTCATTGGCTAGATGTGCAGGTTAATTTTTGTATGTAAACCAGAGTGGATGGCATGGTTGTGACTTTGTGATTTCTTTAATAGTCTATAGTTTGGGACTTGAGAAAACTAAGTTGCAGTCAGTGGCAGTGTATCATAGAATAAAATGAGGAGTTGCAACGCACCACCCAGTGTACAAATCCCTTTCTTGCAAATTGCACAGGTGGCCACAACCATCTCTTCTCTGTTTTGTAGGAATGCAAAAATTATTGAGATCGAAATTTTCACTCTAGATAGTGAAATACTACTAAGATAAAATGATCAAAATAGGACATAACTAAAACTGCCCAGATTATAGGGTTTTTCATTGAATTGACTTGACTGCTTTATAGGTCCTCAGTTGGATCATCCCTAAATTTGGCAATGAGGGTAAGGAAATATTCTGCAAAAATGGAGTTCATGAAATCTTAAGACATGAGTGAGACCTGCTATTTACAGAAGAAATATATAGAAACTCTTAATCCACTGAAATAAAAATAGGGCTTTTAGCTTCTTTTGTGTCTGAAATCCTAGTGTAGTCTCTGGCACTTAGTAAGCTCTGAATACTATTTCTTGAAAGAATAAGTGAGTGAAAGATGAAGTGAAGTATGTTTTTTCCTGGTGAGACTACCTGAGATGATGTAAATTGACATTTAATCCTTGTGGTGCACTCAGAAGGAATCTTTGAGGACTTCACAAAGGAGATTCTACAAATTCTTCACAGAAAATTCTACAAGCCAGAATTTGTCAGAATGTCCCAACATAGTCAGGAGAGATTGGATTCGTCTGGCCAGTGTAAATGTTCTCATCCCATAGAGATGAGTGCAGCAGGCTATGAGATTTGGTAACTTTAAGCAATAAAATGAGCTCATTGCCATCATTCTGGCTTTACAACTCCCAAGCAAAGTCAAGCAGCACTTAGCTGCTGATCTGAGTAAGCTGATGCATTTAGTATTTCTACTTCCATGAATAAGCCAATGAGTTGGTGGTGTGGTTTATATCTCTTTTGTGAGTTAATATTTTTCATCCTCTTTAATCCGATCATGACTGATGAATCAAGGAGAATGAGTTCTTAGATATACAATGCTGAGCACTGACTCAGTGATGAATCCACTATGTTGTGAATTAAATGACATCAATCACTTAACAGTCCTATTTCTCTTGGACGTTTGGGAGTGCAGGTAAACTCAATCTTCCCACCTGTATTTCCTATGGCTGCTGTAACAAATATGACAAAGATGGTGGCTTAAAACAACACATTTATTCCCTCCCAGTTCTGGAGCTCAGAAGTCCAAGTCCATTATCCCAGAGTAAAATCCTTACTATGTCCTGTGCTGTCCTACATGATCAGGCTTCTGTTTGTCCCTGAAGTGTTATCTTCTAGAACTCTCATCGTCCTTTACACTGTCAACCACACAAGACTTCTTTCTGTTTATATAGCATGTCAAGCTCTTCTGTAACTTGGGTCTTTGCACTTGCCTGGAATGTTCTAAATCCTCTGCCCCCTAGTTCTTTGGATATCTAACTCTTCATTCTTCCACCTGCACCTTCCAAGTCATCTCCTAAGAGGTCGTCCATGACCATTTAATCTAAAAGTGCTATTGGGACCATCATAACACACTCTATTCCTTTGTTTTGCTCCCCACTCAGGGGCATTAAACAAGCATCAGCTACTTGTTTGTTAGCGTCTGCAGGAGTCTTTTTCACCTGTTGAATTCCAAATGGCTACTAGTGTGGTACCTGACAAAGGTGTTCAAGCGTGTTTAGTTAAATGTTCAAAAATACAATCACTTCACATTGTATCCTTAAGTAATAATGTGATTAAATCAGAATTGAGGCTGTATTTGATTCCTTTTCTATGGAACTCTCCCATAGCTTTACCCAAGTTATCTGGAAAGCTAACACCCCTGGGACTTCCCCACCCCCACTGGGCGTTACAGCCTGAGGGCGCCTTCAGTGGGTGCTTGCAGTTAATTTCATACATACCCTAGCCTTATCTTCCAGCCTAGCGCTTTTTTCTTTGCCCATTTTTTGCTATTGTCCTCCTACTCCTTAAGACAAGAAATGCAATGCAATGCAATCAAGCTATTGTCTGATGAAAAGAGCCAAAATTATTCAACATTTATGAGAGAAATTATTGCTCTATTGTTAAGACTTAGAATTAAGGGTGCATTTGGCCAAATCTTTAGTCTCCAGAAATGACAGCTTTTTATATTTGACTCTTGTCTCAAGTTTTCTGGGGAAAAAAAAGGAAATTTAACGATGAAATTAACATCCATGCAAGCATATTTCTCACCATCTATAATAAGGTATAGTAATACATTATACCAAAAGCCAAAACTTGAAAGCTGTAACTCTATTTTCCATAAGTATAAGCAAAGCCAAGCCCAGCATTTGAAAACAAATGGAAACTTACATCCTCCGGTAGGGTCAGGATCAGCCTGGTTGTTCCTGGTCAGCCACAGAGCTCTTGTTTCCGCCCGCCGGCCCACCCCACTCCCTATCCACCTCCCCACCTCCCACTGCCTGCATTGCCTGACAGCCTGAGGCAATTTTCATATTAGGTTCCGGAGGTATACGTAGCAGCAGCTCCATCTGTGGAAACTTCAGTTCACAGATCTCCAAGGTGAGTTGTTTTGAAACCTTAGATCGTATCAGAGAAAGAATTTACCCTTGTTTTTCTACTCCCGTATGTGTGTTGCTATAAACTAGACACAATATTCTCAATGTCACAACTTTAAGGAAAGCCATTATCACTGCATTCTTAATTTACAAATATAATTTTTCACAAGTCTTTACTGATAAATCTTTAAAGAAACATGTTCTAAAACATGTCCCTTTGAGCCATGGTCTCTACTCCATGAATTCTATGGGCACGGATGCTTACAAAAGAATTCATTCTTTAGTCAGCCCATGTGAAATGGCTTTTAATGTATTAGAGGCTCTGAGTAGTTCTGTACGAAATAAACTTGGTTAAAGGTGATTAATATAGATTTCCAAGATTTATTTTAACCACAGACCATTTTCATATCTTTAAAAAACATGTGGGAGACTTCTCTGGTGGTCCAGTGGCTAAGACTCCATCCTCCCAATGCAGAGGACCCAGGTTTGATTCCTGGTCAGGGAACTAGATCCCACATGCCACAACAAAGGTTGCTAAGATCCCATGTGCTGCAGCTAAGACCTGGCACTGCAGGTCTTTAAAGATTTAAATCAGGTTTTAAATTGTGTGCCCCTCTGATTAGCATGATGAAGTTTCTCATCCAACCCCAAATCCCCTGGCGCTACTCCACCCAGGATGTGAGGCATCCTTTGGTCAGTGTATCCAGCCCGTTGGTCATTTAGTACCAGTCTGGATTATGACATCAACTGTCACTCTGTAGCAGTACTTGTGTTCAAGTGTCTCTTATTTTACTTAACAATGGTGCAAACTACAAAAGGAATAATGCTAGCAATTTGGATATTATCTGACTGTGCCCAATTTTTAAACTTACAATTTTTAAACTTTGTCATAGGTATGAATAGAGAAAAACATAGTATATATAGGATTCAGGACTATCCAAAATTTCAGATATCCACTGGGGGTCTTGGAATGCATGCACTGCCAGCAAGGTGGAACTCCTGAATTTGGTTACAGCAGCTGAACTGATATAGCTACTCAGATTGGGATCCACTAAGAATCAAACATTGCTTTAGTTATTTTGTCTCTGAATTTCTTTTAATCTAGAAGAGAACCCAAACACTCCCTTCTTTTGTTTTTTTCATGGCATTGACTCATTGAAAACATTTGTCCTGCAGAATATTCCGTTATCTGAGGTAGTCTAATGATTTCTTCACGATGTCATTTAACTTTTACTTTATCTCCTGTTTCCTATAAAGTAAATGTTAGATCCAAAGGCTTGATTTAGACACAAGTTAAGTATTTTTGGTAGAATAGTTCACAGGCAAGGCAGTGAGCTTCAAACTGTACAGCCACAGTGGACATACAAGATGGTTCCCAGGATTCTTTGCTGAGATTGAGCATCAAGTAAAAAGTGACAGTCGGATGCCTTCATTTTTAAAGTTCTGTTTTTCAGGGGCTTCCCTGGCGGTCTAGTGAAGACTTTGTGCTTCCAATGCAGGGGGCTTGGTTAGGGAACTGAGATCATACATGCTGTGAGGTGTGGCCAAAAAATTGTTTTATTTTCCTACTTGAAACCAGCAAGTGTCTTATGAGTAATGAATTGGTACAAAGTCAGTATTCCAGTTCCTCATCAATCTTTCACTAAATGGTTTTAGCACACAGGATGATTCTTACATGAAAAGGAGATTTAATTAGGGGTAGAAAAATAGTGACTTTTCTAGTCTTACCATTGCTTACACATTTCTTAGTTCAGCATTCTTTTGTAAAGAAGAGATTTTCTCCATCCACGGGTGCTGTCTGCTTATTCTGAGATACATTTCCTACAGAAAAGCCTGGTCACCATAAGATATGATAATGGATACAACTGGACTTTATTCTC